TTTAAATTAATTTAGTGTTCAGTTTAACTGAGATGTTTTGGAGCAGAATGAATATTTCTTACAAGATAGAAGCAGAAATTTACTTTTACTGCCCTTCAGTTCTGGCTTGAAAGATCCAGTCAGACCCGGTTGGTTACTATTGGGTTATGGAACTGTTACACTATATTTCCTTTAATTTTGTATGTAAGCAAGCTACAATTAATCTGTGGAGGGCAGATTCTGGTCAGATACCAAGAAGTGAAGGTCTATACCCTGGGAACTCGGGAATAATGATTAATCTTTTAGATTTGCATCAAGTGTACAGTATGCTAATTGGTTGGACCACAAAAAAAAAACCAGACAAAAACTAACTTCTCTTTTCTGTGGCTGACAAAAATTATACTGACAGGCAGATATTGAAAAAAACAGATTTTGAACATCAAAACCTTACTAGTTTGTGCGGCAGCTTCATTTCAGCTGGGCAGAAACCCAATTAAGTGCAGTGGTTTTGGTTCGCCAGCCCGAGTTTCCTGGCCAATGCACCAATTAGTGTAGTGGGTCTAGCACTGGCCAAATGCCAATGCACCCACTGCTGTGAGATAAGGATTAGGATGAGAGCAAAGCAGGCTCAAAACTTTGAAGGGTATATAAAAACTTTATTAATGGAACTAAAAGAAAAATAATAAGAAATCAGAATAGAACACTTCTCCTGCCCCCAACTCCTCTTTCTTTTCCTACTGACAACATAAAGAGACAATATTTGGTACTTCAGTCAGTTTACCACTTCTAAAATAACCTTTTTTCAGTTCATTTGACGAGAGGGGTCTCTCCTGCCCTGTCATGGAGGCTTTTCCACAAGAAACGGTTCTCTCATGATTTTAATTTTCACAAATAGCAGCTGCCTAGAAATCTGCAATCGTGAAGTCTCTCCCACAGATTGGTAGTCTTCCCACAACTACCACCATGGGTCATTTCAGCTTATTGGGGTGCAATTTTAAGGATGAGCTGTTCTAGTATAGAACTTCTTTTATCTCTGGGAACAGAGGTTTTCTTCTTCTGTCCCTGGGCCTAGGTTTCTCATCTCTCTAATCTCTCTCTTCAAGCTTCTCATTGACTCACAGCTACCTTAACATCTGCTTGTTTCAGTACGGATGTTGCCCGCCAGTCTGTGTGGACTGCGCGGTGGAGTGGGACCTGGGCCAGCCAGTGTCCAGTTACCTGTTCAAAGGTTGGACGCAAGATACCTTTTCCCAGGGCTTGTTCATCTTTAAATGTGATTTCACAGAGGCACATTCTGCTCTCTTAAGTGGTTTAACAAATTGTCAATATTCAAAACTTACCAGCTTATTTTGTTCCGTTAGGTCCAAAGGAAGCTGCCAAGGTCCTTACAGGGAATCACTAAAGTAGCTTGTGGACTTTTTCCTTAACTAAAATCTAAACTATGTTAAACCATGACAGTTTGAAACAAGAAACTAATTTAATGTAAATGGCAAATCAATTTGCTTATTAATTCTACCCAAATTACACTTCTGGCTAACACAGCACACGACATGACTGAAACAGTTCTTCTATCTGCCTTTAAGTCAGATGAGAAATTAGTTATATTAGAAGTTATGTAATAGAAGGTTAGAAACATCATACAGTCTTTTATCTTCTCTAGTTTTTATTTTCTCAACTATAAAGCCTATCTTCCTTAAGATAGGCTTATCTTAAGGAAGGAGATAGGTTAAAGGAGACAGATTGAGCATCTCTGGATGCTCAGACACCTTATGCAGAAACAGAAAGCAATATAAAAAGAGGTAATAATTTCAACTTTTTTTTTTTCTCTTTCTGAGACAAAAAAAAAATAGATATTTGATCTAAGTCAGGCCATCTAAATCTACTTTATAGAGATGGACAATTCTGAGAGGGTGGGCATGATTAACTCTGTGGTGTTGTGTCCCCTTCTCTTCGCTGACCAGAGAATGCATCTTTATATCCAGATTTATGGTTAAAGATTGGCTTGGCAAATGTGATTTTTGCATCTTGGTAGGCCTTATACTACAGACCTTGGGATGAGTTAGGCATTAATTCAACTGTCATTTCAACTTTTAGGGTGTCTGTCCTTAGACATGCTTCATCTCATTTTGACTGCAATAGCTTGAGAACCAGCACAGCAACGAAGTCATGGACTACCCAGGCACTCTGGACATGAATGACTATCTAAAAGTGAACTTGCAGTGGTAGCCTAGAACCTGTACAACTCCTTAGGACTGGAAAATTTCTGATTGCCAGTATGTGCAAGAGTTAATTAAAACGGGCATTTATTAGCCTGAACAATGCTCCATGATGCTTTTCAGTTGCACAAGCTGGAATGTTCCCATCCACTGGTTGTTTCCATGCATAGAAGATTGCTTATAAAGCAGTGGTGACTCAGTGATGCTGCCTTTCATTGAAAGGATTTTCATACTATGGAATGTGAGGAGCCGACACTGAGCAGATTAAACAAGCTGATCTCAGCAGTCCAGGGTTTTCCTTTGGACAATACCAGTATTTTGACGATAACTGCAAGGTTGGAGACCACCAGACCCCTGCAACTGAACAGCCAATATCCCTGCATTTATAGGTCTATAGATACCCAAATATCTTTTTGGACACCTCTGGAGAGAGGACACATCTTCCCCAATGGTTTCCTACACTACTGTGAGATAGCCCACCCCAGCTCCACAAGTGATCTGATACTGGTGTTGTCCAGACTTCACTTCTACAGCTGGAGATTTAGAAAATAACATTCAAGACAGGTAGGATGGAGCTCTGAGCAATCTGATCTAGTTGAAGATGTCCCTGCTCATTGCAGGAAGGTTGGACTACAAGACATTTCCAGGTCCCTTCCAACCCAAACTGTTCTATGGTTCTAGGATTATTAAACATACCCATTTGACCCACAACATGAGATGTTGTTACATCTCAAAGCTATAAACTCTGTCTGCATGTTCGGTTTCGGTCTAAACTCTTTTCACCTTAAATTACTCCAGTGGGCAAAATTATAAACAGTTTCTCACTTTATTTAGTTCAATGTTTATACAGTTGTGTTAAATACACACGCAGACACACAGACACACACACAGAGTATAAGCAGGACAAACCCTTATTCTTCAGTACATTTTCAAGATCTGCTTCAAACATACACAGAAACATTGAAGTTCAGCAAGCATGGGGGAAGAGTAGCAGCTTTGTGTTTAAGAAAGACATGATCCTAAGTTCCACTGCCCATTTTTTGACAGATGCAGGAGCAAGACAATAACCATTTTAGTACAGATGTTACAAATAACAGCTTATCCTTTTCTTGATGAATGTGTTATTTCACAATTTACGATTTCTCCATAACAGTCTTTGTTATGGAGATTGTTTTGTTTAATCTTTGTTCTATAAAACACAGAACACCTTGTTGTGTACTAACACCTACTCAGTGTTGAACTCCTCCTTGGAAGTTATGATCATTCTGATCTCCCTGCCAAAAGTAAAGCAGCTTCAAACCTCACAGAACTTAGGAACATTTTGAGACCCTTTCCCTAACATATGGGACAACAATTATTTATTCTTTGTTTAGTACTGGGCATGTTTCTGCAGCAGTGGAAAGCTGCATGTTGCGAACTTAAATTCCACAATTTCAGTTGTGTTTGTGAAAAACCTGCCACATAAATTCACCATATTTTGGAAGGTCCATTTGAATATGACAGAAAGGTATATTGTTTCCATGTGCTGATATTCATTCACTTTTGAATTTTTTGGTCAGCCAATCTCTTCTCATTCATTAACCTAAAGTTCTCTGGATATTTTCTTTACATAACAGCTACAGGACCAATGTTACTGAGTATTTCCTTAAAAAATTTCAGCTGAAAGGAGTTTACTGCACTGCTTCTCCTAGAATTGTACTTATTTTCTCCACAAAATTAGGAGAGATTTCCACACAAACTCTTGAATTTTCAGAAACAAACAATATATATGTGTACATCCAACTATTTCTATTTGCCGTTGATATAAATAAAATCTTAAAATTGTCAACTATACCAATGTCTACATGTCATAGACATCTGGCCAGTTCAAATTTATTTAGCTCATAAAATAAAAAAAAATATATAACTCTTTCCAAGCACTGCTGTCTCATGTTAAGATTGGTGGAAGCAATCCTGGATTAATCAGGGATATTTTTTGTTCCATTTTCAAATGCCTTCCTTTCAGTGCAGAAGCTGATAATTTCTTACACTTCCAGAACCTCTGCTTGCTCCTTTGTATGCAGCTGTCACTGCTGTCACTAAAATTGCTCAAGGTTAAGGCCTCACCTTTGCCTCTCTGTTCCTGTTTCCAGCACCTGAAAGACCCAGAGTGAAGATGTAAGACTGCTACATCCTATTACTATCTATTACTTTGGGAAAAATAATGGAGTCATAAGGTGCCTTGCACTTGCTAAAATTATAGCTTTAGAATAAATTAATGCTTCAAGCAATTAATACAGTGCTTTAGTCTGCCCAGACTGACCTAAATGAAACTTTTATTTCTTTTATTGGCTTGGTCCAATTTCATGCTTGATTCATATTCAGCCTTACCAGATCTTCCATATCAACTCTTGTTCCTGCTCAGACACTTTCACAAGATTTCTTTTTGTTTTATGTGGGGCTGAGACTAGCAGATGGATTTGCAGGATCATGGGCTGGAGTTGGTATTGCAGATATCTGCTTCTTTTTAGCAATAGCCCACCTTTATTCTTCTTTTTGTTAAATAACCCATAATAATAAAATGTAAAATAATCCATAATTTGGGAAATTATCCTGAAAACCACATTCTATGATTGTGGCAAAAACCAGCTTAAAAATCAAAATAGATCTTTCTTAAGTAAATAATTTTAAAGTCTTGCTGTACAATGTCCTCAGAACTCCTTATTTTGTTTAATATTACCGTGAAAAAACAGCATGTGAAAAAAAAAGTTTTAAACAAACCATATATTCTTTATTTTCACAGCTGGTGGAAGCAGACATAATTGTCTATTTAATCTCATCTGATACAAATCCTCCATTTATTTTAGCTTCTGATTTTGAATCCTCTTTTTGTGGTGTTTTCTCAACATCTGTCTTTGTTTTGATGTGGCGTCTTCTGTAAAGACGGTAACCTGAGGATCAATATATGGACAGTATTAAATAAAAGAATTATAAAAATTACCTGAAAAAGATGCTGTAGTAACATATATCCATGCAAAATTTCTTTCTTTATATTGCTAAAATATTTCAAAACTTTCAGAAAGTCTTTTTAAAGCTATGATTTGATTTTGAAATCCATTTGATTATTTTTATCTCTTCTTGTTTTCTCAATATACATGAAAAGTTAAACTGGTAATAATAATGATAGTTATAGTGCTATAATATAAAATTAATATACTTTACCTCCTAAAATTAGTGCTGCAAACAACAGCTGGAAAATGCTGTAGATGAGTGGGAAAGTAAACATCAGTTCAAGTTGTTCAGGAGTGAATGAGAGCTGTACTATGGTGGAACATAGCTGGGTGTTTTGCATGCCTGTTTCCAGAGACACTGTACGACACCTAAAGGGAATAATACAAAGACAGTTGGGAAATAGCATCCAGTGGGTCCAATGCTTTTTACTAATCTGGATAAGCAAAAAATGTAAAGGATAACTAAGAAAATTGTTTCCTTCAGCTGACATAGTCAGTAAAACACTCCACCTATGGCCGGTACCACCAATTATTGGTGGTTCAGCAGCTGTAGAAGATGGTGAACCACCTTCAAGGCACATATGTGGCGCTCACTGTCTCTCTCTCTTGCAATGGTGGTCTAAATTGTAGACTGCTGCATTTACATGAGAGGTTTTACTGCAGTTCCAAACCACTTACAAGTCAGGTCTCTTTCATCTGCTTGAAGTGCAAGACATTGGTGCGCAAAGGGAAAACATATGAAGGGTTGGAGGAAATGTTGTTGTCAGAATCTGTAAATGAATGTGCACGAGAAAAGCTTTGTCTGCACTTAGTATCGCAAAAAAGGAGACTTAGTGAATAAGTGACTCTGTAACCTAAATAATGTTTAGAGAGCATTCTCAACATTGATAATTCGCTGAATAAAATCTTTCTACGCAGTTGAATAAAGGCTGTGCATTACCTGTTCCATGACAGACCAGCTAGGCGAGCCAGAAAGAATCCTAAAGTATATCCAGCTGCTGGAAATATGGTGCCAATGATCCATAATTTTGGTGTGATAACCCAGGAGCCTTTGTAGAGTATTCCCCCAACCACAGCAGTGAGCACGATGAGCACTGCTCCCACAATGGAACCTACCTGTGAAGCAAAAGAAGAGGGATTCAGTCAGGATCACAGAATCACACAGTACTGTACAAATGACACCTCAAGGAAATTCAATGGCAAAAAGCATGGTGTCAAACGTGAGTCACTGAAATGTCATGTTAAACACAAAACCTAGTGTTTACAGCAATTCAAAGCAGTCAGAGAGATGAGATAGTTGCCATTTTAACAAACAGGAGATGTATGATGTACTTCAAGGTGTGACTACAGCTCTAGATCAAGACACAGCTGTAATATGTTTCTATAGCAGATATCTGTAAAACTAGCCTTTTGAAGCCTTGACTATAATTGTACTTAGGGCTGGAGATTAAAAGTAATTTCACAGGTTTGATATGAGTGAGGATTGGTGCACACATTAGAAAAAATTCCCCAGAGCTGTTGAGAAACTGACAGCCTAGTAAGTAGAATACTGCATTTTCCTCCCCACCTTGGTGAATCACTCTGAGGCTTAGTACAGTGTGTGCTAATTAGACACTAGATTGCTAGTGAGCTAGTGCTAGGAAATTATTTGCCAAGTGCAGGGGTAAATCTTTAATGAGGCTAAAAATTCATGCTTGAAAACTGGTTATGAGCTTGTATAGCCCTTTTACATAGACCTGAGCACTGTAGTTGATCTTATTTCTTGTGACTAAATGTACTGAGACCTTTACCACTGCTTGCCTAAAAAAGTTATAGCTCACTCTCTTTTCAATACCCAAGTGGAAGGTCTGTCATTATAGCCTATGTTGCCAGGGATCTCAGAGACACGCTTCTTAGTCTAAGCTTACGAGGATGTATTTCTCAGCTAAAACATGTATTGCCATTGAAGTGGTCCTATCAGTCTTTGGCTGAAACATTTTTAAGATCACCGAGTGAACAAGTGCTTTTGTTTGGCTGAGCTATTAACCACACGCACTTTGGAAGAAGAAACATGGTCTGGCCATGACAAGCTCTTCTTTCACCTGACACACTGTCTTTGTTCTCTTGTCTGAATTTCTCACTATATAGACCTTAATCTGACAGCTATGGCTCAATCTTCACTTGGTGCTTCATTGTCCTACACAATGAAAACTCTCAAGGCTGTGGGCTGCTCACCCACTCAGTAAGAAGGAATGAAATGAGGCTTTGCTGAGAGATCGAGTAGAGTTTCTTCACATGTGAGTACAAGCCCATGCTTTCCCCTCAACTGATTAAATAGAAATAGTAAGATGTGAATGCATTTCAAAATGCAATGTGATAAGCTAGCAGTTTCATGAAAATGGATTGACTTAAAAAGACCTTACTTGTGCTCTATGCTGTCTGAGCCAATAGCAAAGAAGTGATAACAAACATAGGTAGAAAAACATGCGACCAGAGTAGTTTTCTTTAAGAAAATTTAGATAATATATTTGTTAAATAAGAATGATTAGCAAAGGCCAAGAATTCTCAGTACATATGAAAATCTCTTTAAACCTAAACCAAATGTACAGAATAATTAATTTGCTGTCACCCTAGATGTGGCTGAATTATTATTATTATTATTTTGATGAGAACAGTTTTTTGCTAAAATTCCTGTATTTTTGATGTAACTGAAACAATCTTGCAAAGATGGCATCCTGTATTTTGTCAATAGTATTTTAAGGTTTATATAAGAGTTGGAATATTTTATGTTTTTTATTTTTTAATAAAAATTGACTTCACACTCAAAAATTGGATCACAAAAAAATTAGGAAACTCTCTTAAAAGGAGAAAGGTATTTTGATCCAGAACTATTTTATTTTTTATTGTTTTGCAGAGAAAAAACTGCTTTCTGTTCACCTGAATGATTTTCCTTCCAATTTCAGTTTACATTATATACTGAACTCAATTACTAACATAGTTGCAGCCAAAGACAAAAGTAGGTTCTTTAGATAATGATGGTTACTAATAATGCATGCAACTCATGCATGTTTGTGCAGGGGAAAAGCAATACATTTCCACAGCACCTCATTTGTTTTCTGCTGAAAACTTTCCAGGTCTTTTGAAGTCAAGTACTAATACTATGAATAGCAATGTACTGCTTCAGTGGTCCCACTGATTCCATAATTTGTCGATAATTGCTTATACTTCAACCTTATATATCCTACCTTAAGTATGATTTTTGCTTTACTAGGCCACTTGTGGTTGACAAATATTCCCACTGAAACAGGAACTACAAGAGCTACCAGAGAAAGTCCTGTAAAAAAAGAAAAGAGAAGTCAAGACCCTGCATGGTGCAAGAGCTCACCGCAGGACGGGCACCATGATGAGTGACTGTGGGCCTGGAGCAGCCTTTCAGGGGATGTTTCTGTGTGCACACCCTGGAGCACTCATGCACACTCTACCCACACCTGCCTATTTGCTTTTCTATAGACTCTATTATCTTTGGCAGCCTGTTGAAGTAATTGCCATTCTGCTGAGCTACATGCTCATTCACCTGCATCAGAAAGGCAGACAGAAATCTGAGTGTGCTAATCATCACTATCCTGTGATGTGAGTAGCTATATTAAATGTTCATTTTGTCTGCAGGTGTTTTGCTACTGTACCGTATCAGCAACCAGTTTAGAGCTTCTTTTGTTTTGGCCTTCCCCCTCCAGTATTTATTTTGAAACCACAAGCAACGTATTGTTTTTTTGTTTTTCCCCAAGGACAATGGGAAGTGAAGTTGAAGAATGTGAAAGTGATTCTGCTGGCTTTTAAGATTAGCACAACATGGAACTGCACTTGATAAGCACTAGGGCCACAGCTCTGCAAAGCACTGGAGCATGTATTTCTAAATACTTTAACTATTTTCTCTTTGTAGCTGAATGAGATTTTTGACAGGAAGTCAAATGAAGCCACTCCTGGCAGTGTAGATTGCAGCTTTTCAAAGAGACTCAGCAGCTTTAATCACTTGCTTAATTATCCACGTGTGCCTAAGTATTTTGTCAGATTATGGCCTCAGCATTTAGCTCTTTGCAGGATTGTGTCCTAAAGCTGTTATAAACACTTTCATCCAGAAGAAGCAGCTATTCCTATCTGAATTATTCTATATTCTTATCCCACTACCATGTAGATCTCAAAGCCATTTGGAAAGAAAAACAAGCACAATCTTGTCATAATTATCTGTACAATATTTATAACGGCTTCAAGTCTTTCTTTGGCAGAGCTGTGGATGATGTGAAGTAATTCTTCATGGGCCTAATGCCCATGGAGGTTATTAAAAGGTAGAAAGAGAAATATTTTTAAAAATCTGAGGTGATTTCTTCCTGACTGCAGGATGATGGTATAGGTTGCCCTGAATGGAGGATAGACAGAAGAGAAGGTGCCGTTCCACTGGACTCACCAATGCTGTTATAGGGGAGTACAATTGCATCAGCATCAGTCCACATTTTGGTGTAAATAAAGAGACAAAGTGGCATCATTCCCATTGCAAGCAGCGTGGAGCAAGTTGTCATGCTGATGCTGCAAAGAAATTGGTTACAGTGACAGTTCATCTCATGCTAGCCCATAGTCTTTCTCATTTTCTTATTACCATTTCACACCTTGTGAAAGGTTGTGCAAGAAATGTTGCTGGCTACAGACAATTTATCAGGTTAGAGAAAAGCTAAATGAAAGGAATGGCTTCTGCTGAAAAGAAAAGAACATGAAAAATCAAGGTGTTCTGCAGCCACAGAACCATAAATTTTGGTGCAAAGGAGGCAGTCAGACAGGTGGCCAGCCGAAAGGTCTGTTGGCAAATATGTTCCATGCTGCCTTTCTGGCTGGTTTCAGAGAGGACAGTAAGCAGGAAACAGGGGCAGAGATGGACATCAAATGGAGCTTTTAATTATAACAGCAGTTCTAGGGTGTTAAAATTTCACTCTGAAGTCAATAGCACAGAAATCCATTTAATTGCCTATGATATGTGATAAAATAAAATTCCCTTTTCTGCCTTGTTTTGCTCTAGGCCAAAAAGTAGGTGCTGAGAATTGCTCAGTGAGGCTTAGCATAAGGATTGTTCCTGCATTTCGCAAAGATATTTCTGTTTTCTGTTGTACAAAAAGATGCATTCTGCTACAGGAGTGAAGAAATAGGAAAAGGCAAGACATCTAAAATAAGGAGGAAACGCCTTGTTTTAAGGAGTTGGAATTGGAATGCAGTAGATAAAATTATGCATGCAAATCTCATTTTTCTGGTATAAAAATAGTGAGAGAAGGTTCTAGTTAAGAGATTTTGGAAGCTTTCTTCTGAGCCTCACTTCAGATTTCTCTTTATTGTTACTTGTCCTCAGAAAAGAGACTACTGATCCTGGCCACAAGCTGAGCAGATCCAGAAAAATCTAGAAAAATGTATGCAGAAACCACAGGAATATCTGCATTCATTTTGGTTCTAGTCACTCTCTGCCTTAGAGTCATTGAATAGGAATTTGCAGGAGCCTCTGGTAAAAGAGTTCCTATAGAAGTCTCCTACTGAGAAAAAGAGTTACAGGCTATAATTAAGGTTTGATGAAGTCCCAAATGGAAAAAAAAGTCCCTCATGTTTCCTACCTCTGTATTTCCTATATCTTTATACTGTCCCTGAATGTACCTCCTTCTCCAAAACCTGGCCATCCTCTAACCCCCGTCCCGGTTTCCACAGAAGCAGTTGTTTTTGTGAAATATCAAAAGATATCTCTATGGGGAAGCATTAGAGGATATCAGCTGGATTTGATTTACTAAGAAAGATATGAAATACTTCACCTGACTATGATCATAATGCTAATTATAAAACTAATTCCTTCTCCAACTTGTGGTCCATTTGCACAGAGGTTTTGAAGCAGAAGTATAGACATGGTTTGTAATGTAGAATCATAAAATATTAAACTTAAAACCAAAACAATGTCTGATATGATGGGCAGGTTTCTATAATACTGTGGTGGCTCCAGAAACCATCCGTACAACTTCTAATGTTATTCTTCTGTTGAGAAGAGAAGATGCCTGCCTTGACAATCTGCTGTACCTCCTGTATCCTGTGGTCCCTGCATCTCTGTTGCAAAGGTACTGACCAAAAGCCTTTGACCTAAGGTAGAGGTCTTTACCTGAAGAATAACCTTTTAAAGGCATTTTCAATTAACTTCACCCTTTGTCATCACCGTGGGATAGAAATCCTGTTCATGTTTATAGCATTATAAATCTGGGTTTTTAACACTGATTTCATTGGAGCAACTCTGAACATACAGAGCTGACCAAGCATAGTTTAGCTCAGTTTATTCTTTCAGGGAGAGATTAGAACAAAATTTCAGCCTTCTACTCAATATCTTCTCATCTGTGATTTCTTAGACCTGTATTAGTTGAAACTAAGAGTCTTACAGTTGTTAATATCATAGATTTTTCACCTACAATGAGGAAGTCAAGGATTAGCAGAGCTAACCTCATTTATAATTTGAAAGCTGTTTTCTACAATAATACCTGCATGTGACAGAAAAGTTCAATATTTTCAAAGGATGGAAAAAATATTGTACTAAAGCTACAAATATTAAAATTATTAGACTTTTTACTCTAGCTCCACATCTTTCATACTTCTACTATTTTTTTCTGTTTCTAGTTAAGACTGGCATATGATAAATTGGAAGAATGCTGTAATTTATTTTGCTCTGTGGGAAAGAGAGAAATGATCCTCTTTATTTTAGACCAAAGTAATCAGGGCATAAAAATAAAAAGACAACTTGTTTTTAGAGGCTCTTAGAGTTGATGAACCCCCCATGGAATTTGCATTAAGAGTAGGGTTCACTTCTCCTGTGTATTTGATGTCCTAGGCCATGTCAGGTGCCTTACACATCTGCTTCTGAGCTGATAGCACTTTGTCATTGAGACCATTACACTGCCACAAAGGAGGGTTTTTATTGCTCTCAATATGCAGGGCTGCCTTAAGTAGTGTAAAATAGCCTGTAAAATATTCCCTCAGTTTGAAGACTTTGCATAAGGTTCCAGGAGCAGAAAGAATTATCACAAGTATTCATTAGAACTAGTATTCATTGAGAAAATAAATACCTGTCTTTTTATTGTACAGAACAGAAAAGGAGGGAAAATATTTTTCCACAGGAGCTCTTTTCCAAGAAAAGTTTCATAGCTGCTATTTTGTACAGAGGATTCTGGTCCCAAAATCCTATGGTTTTTTTAATATTTTCACTACTCAAGATCTTGGGAGAAAGAAAAGTAATTTTAACTTGGGCAAAGTTTTCATAATACATATTATTTTAGTTATCTTCATAGATGATATTTGTTCCAGGATCTGAAGTTTAACAATAAAGATAGTTTCGAATGTACACAATTCTCTTGTGATATCTTCTCATGAATGCCCAATGAACCAAGGATATTTGCTATTCTGCTTATATTTACTGCAATTACAGTAACTAACCATCTTTACAAGGAGAAAACACCATGCATGTGCCAGGAAGCTAAGAAAAACATCAGACAGATCAGACAGTCCTTTTCAATGTAAAATTTGCAATGTAAAGAGCCACATGAAGCACTTTGAGAACAGCTGCTCTTACCTTAGGTCCATGTCTCCGTCCACCCAGTAGGCGATGACATTCGAGGCTGTGCCCCCCGGACAGCATCCCATGATCATCACCACGACAGCTTGAATAGGAAGGATGTTGAAGGCCAAAGAGAGCAAGAAGGCTGTGAGAGGCATAATTCCAAACTGGCAAAGGAAACCCACAAATATACCCCAGGGTCTTTTTATGTGGCCCAAGAAATTCTTGATTTCCACATTGCAGCCCATGGAGAACATCACCAAAGCCAGCATGATTGTTAGAACAGTACTTAAAACTACGCTCAAAGTTTGATTAAAATTATCTTCTGTCAATACACAAGAGGTGCCATCACAAATAGTAGCATTTGCTGGACAAGCCGTGGAGTTTTCTGCCAAAGGACCAGCAGTAAATTGCTGGGAAAGAAAGTTTGTCTGCATTTTGAAGTACAGAACTGCTCACTGTATCCGCAGTAAACTTTCAAGCCTACAGTTGTTTGTCAGTGACTTCTTTTAAACGATCCAGGAAGCAATAAAGTGCAATAAATGCCAGAAAACTCTTACTACTCTTGAAGGGTTTGGCTCAGTGCTGATTCATATAGTTATAAAAGTTGCACTTCTTTGGTACAGTGACCATTAATCATTTATTCATATGGTAATGAGGGATCCCACATGAAGAGAATAGCTGTGTTAATGTTTAAAGATGTAAAGGAGGCTTGTAGTGCTGCTAAGACCATAAAATGAGAATCACAAGAGGAAGAGAAAGTTTAGACTTCATTCTTTGAGTTTCTTGCGTGTCTTTGGGAGACCTGCTCATGCATACAGTGTTGCTGGCAGTACAGGGGTCTGTGTGGTGAGTAACCGAGACACAAGAAACCCTGAGCAGAAGTCCTGAGGTATGATTTGAATCTGCAGCTCTTGCTAATGGATGCAACATTCAGCACAACCCACAGGCTCATTTGAATGACCTGGAATCTTTGTTTCTGGCAGCATGGAGATTCAGTGTCCTCCTGACACCTTCTGCCAGGTGCAGCGGGTGCAGTCACACTTTGATCCAGCTTGAAATGGAAGTAGTGGACAGTGAGAGGAGCAGAGTGGGGTGGTAAGGGCAGAGGGGGAAGGAGATCTATTCTCTGAGTCAAGCATGGGGAACAGAGAGCAGGGCAGTGAGGCTGGCACACGACTCTGGAGCCATGGCACCCAGCAAGCTGAGCACAACCCCTTCCCTGCCACGACACGCTCAGCATCCATGCCAGGGATGACAGTGCAGGCCACCTTTTCTTACCAGGTACAGCACAAAAGTTAGGACACAGGTTTATTGTGCCTGGCTTTGGTATGGCTTGTGCTCTGTCATCCCCATGGCTCAAAAGCAGTCTCAAATTTTGAAAAGCTTTTAAAGATTTACCCCTTAGGCTTCCATGAAAATCTGTAAATTTGGATGGTTTTCAGAGGAAGAATCTTAATAATTTTCTTTACCTGTGCTCAAGATTTGTGGCAGAAGTATCTTCAAGTGTAGATCTTAGACTAAAATGGAGTCTGATATGTAAAGTGCAATTGATGCCCCCAAAAATCCTGATTTTTCAACACAGAAATATTTTTCACTAGAGTAACATGCTAAGCCATAATTATCTTCAGCAAGCAAGACTCTCACTGGAAATCTCAGCACTTTGTTCTGAACATCAGTGTGTGAAATGATACGAATGATACGACTTGCTTTTTTAAAAAACTTTAAACCTTGAATTTTGTAGGGGGAGCTGACTGCCTTAGAAAGGATTTCCCAGCATGCTCAGATGGCACCTGCTTCTTTACAGAGGGGTCAGCTAAATGGCTGTATCTCCTAAGTCACTGCTGGGTGCCTGATGGGATAATGTCAGAGTAGCTTTATCCTCCCAGGCAGCTGGCAACTCCTACCCTGTGATTAGTGCCACATCTGTGTGACTAGGATATGTCTAACAGAACAACAAGTAAGGTAATAAGGAGCAGATGAAAGGAAAAGAAAGCCACAAGATCTGAGTTTGGCAGAAAAACTTATTCTCCTTTTTATGGTAGCTTTCAAACGGAATGTTTTAGGAGATTTTACTTTTCAATCCAAATATTTTAAAGGGCTAGTAAGGTTTTTAAAGCCATATTAATAATGCTGTATTAATATTTTCTATAAAACCTCTATCAGAGTTTTGATTTGCGCTTGAACTTGTTTCTTGTTGAAACTAAAATTTTTTACAAGCGTCTTGAAATCTCCAGCAAACCTTACATCTAGGGGCAGCTTTCCTAGTCCTGTAAATGTCTGGTATGCTGTGGAAACCCAGAGTGAGTAGTTTGGGAGAGGAGGTGAGGCTTAGAGTGGCTGTTTCTCAGCAGAGCCTCATGCAGGGGCTTGCTTTTACCTCCTCTGCCTCCTTGCAGACCCCTTGACTGGGTGCTGCAGGGGTGCTTGATGCTGTATCCCCAGAGACAGCACAGATGAAATGTCCCTGGTTTGGGTCTCCAGCCTCTGCAGCTGTCATTTTGGACTTTGATTTCTATGAACAGTGTGTAGGGGGAGATTTTCATGCTCAGGTTTTGTGTTTAGCTCAGGACAAACAGCACATCAGCTACTCACCAGTGTGGCCTTGTGGAGCAGCAAGTTGTGCAAAATTAACCTGTATTTAACTGCTAGCTTTGCCTTTGTTTTACCCTCTCTATTTTAAAAGGGATGATAGCGAGTCATTATTTCAGCAGCTAGCATTTAGATCACAAAAATGCTGTCTGGAAACAGAAGAGAGCCCTTCTGAATTCAACTTATTATTAGGCTGACATTGCCACAATATAGCACAGAAGGGAATTTCTGTATCAAGCAGTCCTCCTGTGTTAGGGAACTAAAACCTCATCCAAGACATTGAAATATTTACAAGCACAGCTAAAAACTTGGCATGTTGCAGGGGGTAGGGTATTACTGAGTAGACAGGTGGGTCTCTCAGGAGTGCTGGATTTCAAACATTCCTCTAAGTCTGTTTTGCTTTTTAAAATGTGCTGCTGGGATTTAATCCATTTGCATGGATTAAATGCAGGCTAGTGGGAGACATCCTCCAGGAAAGCAGCAATTCAGAGATGGTTTTCAGAGATACTTAGCTGTATGCCTTCTGTTTCACTGCCTGTTTTCCACTCAAGTTATGCTGCTAAACTGGTAAGATGGACTATGTACCGCTCTGTGAACCTAGCTGGCATCTTTTGCCTGGACATGTTCACGTATTAGCCAGGGTGATTTTAAGCATTTCACATTGACATTTACAGAAGGAAGGAGCAGTGCAGTGAACTTGGTGGCATTTTGGTGATGATTAACATACCCAGACACTGTCAGCATACATCAAAAAGGAGAAAAATCAATGCTCCACTAGAGAAATACCAAGCTAAATGTATATTTGCATCACAAACTGCAATACTATGATTTTTCTTCTTGAATTTTTGCAGCGATGAGGCTCCCAGCTCATTCAAATGAGTTTAGTGTCACTTCAGCAAACAAATCCAGGTAGGTAGAACTTGTAAGGATCTGTTCCTGTGCTGACAATTGGGTAATTGATTTATCCATTAACTCAGGCAGTTATAAAACAACAATAGCAGTAAGTGCATACAGAAGCCTGCACTGGGAGAGGCTATTTAACTGTTTGTCTTCTAAGGCTGTCTGGTGCTTATTCCTGTGATGTTTCTCTTAATGAGACTTATGAATCTTCCCTGTCTGCTTAATTCAGACTCTGAGATGCTTCTTAGTATATTTATGTCTTGGTTAGAAGAATCTTTGCTTTCAGATAATTGATTACCTAAAGTCAATTCTAAAGTCAATTACCTGCTTTTTACCACTGTCATAGGGTGACTTTATGATCTGTATCCCCAGCTGACTGTTCTGTTTATGCTGGATATTTTATATATATATATATATATATATATATATATATATATATAAAATATTATATATAAATTATTTGTCCCAAATTTGCCCTAAACCAGGACAACCACCATGTTTGAAAGAGAGATAGCAGCTGTACCTAGTATTTCTGACCTTGTTTATAACTTTAAACTATAAACTTTAAACTATATTTCCAGCTATAGATGGAAGATTTTTTTCATTTGTTAAAATTTTACTGTACTGGAAGCTTATAGAAGGCATTAAGAAAATAAAATCTCCATGTAATAGCAGGAGAGAAAGTAATGACATCAAAATACATTTAGGTTGGGATAGCTTCCTATCAAAGTCTTCTGCAAAGCCAACTTACAGAATTTTTACATTTACATTTTTACATTTCATGACTGGTGCAGACATCTAGAGTCTGCCTGTTAAACTCTTGATTTGAGTTTCAAAAGAAACATTGGGGGCATAGGTATTGAATTCAGCTGGGAAAAAAAACCCTGATGTACGTACATACTTGGATTACAGGCAAATTTATCTGGCTGGTGTGCTGATTCTGAGAGAATCACCTTGCAATCATGGCTGGATTCCTGCATAGAATAAGTGTTTGGCTGGAGGGATGGGGTTCTGCTATGATTTGTCAGAACTCTAATTATTGTACAAGGAGAAGTCTGTAGTGCTTTTGCATTTTCTGACACAATTCAGACTTCCCAATCCAAATCATGTTTTAATGTGCTCCTCTTAAGTAGCCAAATGTGAGAGTTCTCAGCAGAACAAAACAAAAGTTTAGTTACCACACAAATGCATGGAAGAGAATGCAAAGACCTCAGACTTTGCTCTTTTCTGATAGATGTATGAGGGGAAATCCACATTTCATATGTTCAGTAAGGACTGGCTGCTGTGAGACAAACAGCAACAGACTGCCAAAAGCATAAGGTAGCCTTCTGACTGCCAAAATGTAAGAGTGACTTCTGACATTGATTAAAAGAGCTGAAAGTTAGATAACTTCATAACAAATCAAAGAAATTAGTCATGCTACCAGGTATAAAAGTGTAAGTTCTTGAATGATTCTATTGGATTGGAATCCCTTAATAAAAACATGTTTTCATGTTCTTCAAAAAGGACTGGCTTTGGTCTTTGAGGGTTAAAAAACCACAGAAATATTTCAGTACCCATCCTTTTAAAGTTGTAATTTTAATTTGTAGTATGGCTTAATTGGTATGAATGGCCAAAAAATATAGATGCTTAAATTTTAGATCAGAGGTCTGATTGATTTTAACTCTACAAGGTTAAAGAAAAATAAAATTATTATAGAAATTTTATTTTCCTGGAACCAAAATTGGCTCTGTTAATTTTCATCTGAAGGGGAAACCACTTACACTGTTTCTTCTTTCCTATTGCGTTAATCACATTTAACTCCTGACAAGTAGTAGGAAACCAGTGTTTTTGCCTGCAGTTCCAAAGGCCTGTCCCACCATTGTCAAACTCTAGAACCAAGCTGCACCTTTTAAAATTTTCATTTAGATAATTGATAAAT